AATTGCATGGCTTTGTACGGCTGCTGCTGCCGCTAGAGCAGAGGTCAGGATGTGTGGAGACAGTCATTGCCCCTATGCCACACCTGAGCTGCATGCTCTAAAGGAGAAACAAAATGTAGGAAAACTGTTCTCTGGGGCTTTCTTCTTGTTTCGCTGGCTTATCCTTTTCTGCAATAGGAGAAAGCTCTTTTCCCAACTTCTTTTCTCTTCCATTCTGCTCAAGAAGTAGAGGGGCAGAAGCAGTGCTTTCTCACAGGGCAGGGAGAACGGTGTTCAGGGGAGATGGGCAGGATTTATGGATCCTGACAGGGAGGATGGAGGGTCCTGTTTCCTCAGGGGGTTGGAGGAGAAGATGGCAGCTCCTCTGTGGGAAAAGGAGGCTGGGGAAAAAGAAGAGAGAGATTCCCCTCCACAGACCCCTGCTTCCTCCCCCAGGCCCTGGAGCATTACTGAACCCTCCTGCCTTCCTCCTAGCAATTCCTTCTTGGAGACATCTGGCTTTCCTTCCCAAGTGCCTCCCAAACTCCTATTTTTGCCTTTACTGCTGATCTGTGCCAGATCTGTTTCACCTCACTAACTGCAGAGGCTGAGAATGAACATAATACTCAGGGATACTTTTGGTCAGAAACCAGGAGATAGAGCATCATCAGTCAAAGGAGAGATCTCAACTGCAAAAGAGAATCCTAACAAAGTCCCAACACCATCATCTTGTGTGGCAATATAACCGCATCAGCCTGAACTATGAGTTCATCAGATCTGGACTTGGCTAGTTGTTGTATAGGAACCTTCTAATTAAAATCCAAGAGATGGCTAATGTAGTAAACAATTTAATGAGTCGGTGGCACTCCTTACCCTGAACCACGCTTGAACCATGACCCAGAAAGTGCAGAAGCGGTATGCAGTAAAATAAGTGGGACGTGTTCATTAGCAGTGCGCTCAACAGCATTGCATTGCTGTTGGGAAATGTATTTCACTGGGACAGAGACTTCTCCTTAAGCTCAGTAAAGCTGGCACCTTTGTACATGAATGCAGCTCATGCTCTCATCTCACGTGCTTGGAAGAGACAACTGCCTGGACTGGGTCAAACTCTGCATACCTAGTTTGCTCACTCTAAGCAGAGGAACAGAGACAATCAATTCTCTCTTCACAAATCAGATGAATAATTAAGATGATCTCTCTTAATGCACTGTGTTCTTAGAAAATGCATAAACTGAATCTTCTTCCATTTTAATCTGGCTTCCCTCAATTTCTGCAACAAGGTGTATGTATTTTAAATAAGCACAAACCCCCCCCCCCCAAAACGTGTTCCCTATTGCTTGGTCTCCTTCACAGTTCCCTGCTTTCTTTTCCCCTCAGTTCATATTTTATCCTAGCCTTCATGAAATCCTCTCCAGGGAGACAGAGGACCTGATTCTGGTAAAGACAGGGCCTGAGAAGCCACCTCAGGTTTCCTTGACGGAGGGACAGTGTCACCGGCATGCCGTCTCTCCCCTGGCTCTGCCTCCCCCTCGCCCCCAGTCAGCAGCACACAAATGTTATATAAAGCCGCTCCGCCGCACCTCCTTGTTCTTGTGCCAACAAGATAAAAGGAACCCAAGGACTGAGAGCTGAGTATGTGTTTATTTATACAGAAGGCAAGAAGTGACTAGTGAATGCGTGACTAGACATCTACAGATGTGAGGGAGGAATATTTTAGTAAATATACGTATTTATCCCTGGTATCTCTTTATTATCTTTAGATTATTATCTTTATTATCTTTAAAATATGAGATATATCCCTGGCTATATCCCTTTCCTCCTGGGAAGCAAAGCCTGCATTTACATTAGTTGCAGTGGTCACACCACTGAAAATTCAAGACCTGTTCACAGTGGAGTTAGAGGTGGTAGCTCTAAGTTTAGTGATTTTTGATGGTTTAAAGAGTATAAAAGTAATCACACATTATTAGGGAAATACTATGCCAAAAACGATGCAGAAACAGATTTACTTCAGCATGTGAAGGGCTCCTTTGATAAAGAAAATACCAATGCTAATGTAAGATTAGAATACAAGGTTCCTATTCTGAAACAGAAAACCTACGGTAAGAGGCAGTGCTAAAAGCAAAGCCAACAAGGCAGTAACACAGCGTACTGAACTCAACTGTATCATTGTCCTGTTCAGCTCTTCCAAAACTCCATCTAACGTAATCTCAACAAATAATTTGTCTGCCTCATTTCCCAGAAAAACAAGCTGACCCTCCAGTATATTATTCCAATGTGCAAAATTCAGTTTGAAAACCTTTCACTGGGAAGATAGTATTGTGTGTGTCAGTGTAACACCGTGACTCACAAGAACATACATAAAACTGCAAACAGAAGAAGGAGCCAGGGAAAAAAAAAGAAATAAAACTATTCCAGATATGGATGTACAGTGTGGGGGTTTTGTTGTCAGGCAAATATGTGGAGAGCAGTTTTTCCTGTAAATCGGGGAAGAGTCACATCTGACACTAGTCCTATCAGGCAAAACCATCTCAGCAAAGGCAGGCAGGATTCACTGCTTAACCACAACAACGTCAGGTCTATTGCCTACTCAAAATCAATGAGTACACTTTTAGAATAAACATATACTTGCACAAAAAGATCAAATAATTGTAACTTGAGAAGGTGTCGGACCAAAATCTCTCACTGCTCCTGATCACGCCCAAATCTATCGCCTTGATCCACTCTGTGAAATGCAGACATCCTTTAATAACAATCCCTTTCTAATTCGTCTCTGAAAGTATTTAACGTCTTACCTAGGAGCTATACCCAAGAAAGGCACTTGCAAATATGCCTGCTCTTACTGGCTCTTCAGTTGTTTCATGATACTTATATTTATATTATATTATATTTATTCACCATAGAGGAAATGGTTTCATACGCACAGATACATGGTTATTAGTTTAAAGCAATATTCTGAACTGAAATTTTACTAGTGAGAAGTCTCTTCCCTTCTGTATTTTTAAGAATCATCAAGTTAATTATATAAACATATGTAGAGGGTGTTGATACAGTATTGAGATGAAGCACAAAAGATAACAATAGATCAGGAGATCATTTCAAATGGACTTCAGGACTCTGCTACCCAGGGCCAACACTTGGAGGAGTGTGAATCCGCACTGTCCCAGCTGCTGGACATGCAGGTCCTCGGCTGACACCCTTTGTCTGTGGGATTCAGCTCCTCTCTCTGCAGCTATATACACTCTATGCGCTTATATTTATTCGTGTTTTGGTGGGTGAGCTTCTCCTTGGGCCATGGGCGCTGAACAGCCACACAACACCCGAAGCCTTCGCAAAAGAAATGCCAGGAACTACGGGTGTCCCTGGGGCATGGAGCTGTGCTGCTTAGGGATAGGACGCTCTCAGGGCACTGTCGGCCAGCTGGGGAACACCATCTTCAGCATGCTGCAGGAGTTAGTGTTGAGGATCTGCAGCATGCCAAGGTGACCAGATAGACAAGTTTATACGCTGAATATACACTGATAGAAAGAAACCCAGCGCCAGGGCAGGGAATGCAGATTTTCAGGTGCTCAGAACACCACTCATTTATTACTTCAAAATTTAAAAAAAAAAAGTATTAGAGAAAATTAGACCATTATTTATTGATGTGAACAGAAAGTTTGAGCTTGATCTTTGGCAGCTGTCCTTCCTCCCATGCAGAAAGTGTGGTGGAGGAAAAAGAGTAGGAGTGGAGTTTGTCCAGAGGTCATTAAGCTGAATACCCCCTTCAGACAACTGCTGCTCCAGTCCGAACAGGATGCTGAAAAAAACATCCCAGAGATGATGTGACTGCAAATGGCTTTTTGGAGCTCAGGCTACAGACGGTGCCAAGTGCTTACTGGGCATAGCTGAATATCAATCAGCCCACTACACTTCCTTACGTATTTCTGTTCACGGCCTTATCTATAAAAGCAGATACTTTATCCAGTGAGCTACACAGTCTTTCATAACCATCTGTGGGGAATCTGCAGGTGTTAAATTAGCTGCAGGAGGATGCCCATATGTTTCCTGCATGCAATAGACACATATTGAGAATTAGAACCAAAAAAAAAAAAAAAAAAAAAAAAAAGCCATTGCAGATTGCACACAGTTAAGGCTAAAGGGCTCAAGCCAAGATCTTTAAGTAAAATCGCACACAGATGAGATGTAATTTACTGTGATTTGCTGCTTCCGATTAAAACACAGAGAAAAAGAAATACAGTCTTCATTTCCTGATGTAGTTTTTCAGGCTTATGTTCTTATGTGGGGAGACAGTCCTGTGAGATGCTGAGCAGACTCAAACTGCTGGCAATGGGACTTGGGGCTGCTCAGCACTTGCCAGGATCTGGCCTTTGCAGTCATTTCATACAGCTTTTTTTTGCGACTGGTCAATTGACTTATGATTTATATCGTTGTACTGTATATGTCAGGGTCAGTAATTGCCCCACAGCTACTAATGGGAGTTATTTATTATTACTGTATAAAAAGAGCCAAAAAGCAACAAGTACCCTCTCTGTCTTGGTCTGAGGGATGAAGGCAGTGGGAGAATTTTTTTTAATAGATCTTACTTGTCTCTTTGATGTCAAGCAGTTGAAAAATGGGTAAAAATTAACAAGGACTGAGTTTCTAGGATAGGCACAAGGAAAAGACCTTAGGTTTTACGCACAACTACACGTATGCATGCTTATTTTGTAGGCATAGGCACAGAATAACCATCTCGCTAGTTCTTTTCAGAATCCTGAATTTAGGTCTGTACATATATCTGGGAAAACTGCCATTTTCACATTTTTTACAATCTAAGATACATTCATCCAGTTTTTGAGAGCATAAATTAAGATTAAGCAAATATCTACAGCAGGGATCTGTTTCAGGTGAATATTCCTTCAAGAGCCCCCCCCAAATGTTATAGCTGGGTGCAGAAAAGACCTGCAAGGAATTCGTATTTCTCCAAAACCCTTAACAAAGAAACCAAGCTATTACACATGAGCATTTTTCTCTGTGCACAGAAAAAATGTAATCGATCCGGAGGATCCAAGGTGCGCCAGGCTGACTCTCACAGGACAGATGGTCACGGTCCCTCCGGAAGAAGTGGAATTTGCCAAGCAAGCAATGTTTTCCAGGTCTGTATGTAACAGGGACGTAGTAGAGTGCAACCCGCAGGTTTGAGACAAATATACGGATGTGGCTGTTTGGTACGGAAAATCCGAGAAGTAACAAGCCTGATCTTTACTTTGGGGCCACAAAGCATGTTGGCTCCTGTGTGGCTTGGAACGACAGGCAAAGCTGTGTGACCTCCTTTTGACTCTTGAGGTAATGAAATATGGAAATGCAATTAGTCAATATTGGACTCCGGTAAAGCACATGGTTTATAATCGGGGGACTATGAAAATATTTCACCTGGCTCTGAGGAGAGATTCCGTAAATCTAGGGTGTATTTGTTACCTTTAATGGTTCCTCCCCACCTTAGGACAGGTAATGCTCTTCAGCCACAGCCCCCTACTCAGAGACAGAGCAGAGCTCTGCTGCCTTTGGGCTTGCACCTATTTGCAAGGTGGAGCTTACATTCTATTACCTCTCCTGATGTACCAAGACAACTGCTACCAAAGCCGTAATACTTACCGAACAGTCTCCTTTGAACAGATGCAAGCACAACCCAGACACATACACCCCCCCAGCAGTGCCCCCATGCCCTCCTGTGGGTCTTCAGAATAACAGGCGTGAAAAGCCCAAACCTTAGCTGGGGCACATGCCTCCCACGCAGGCTGCTGGGGATGGTCCTCCAGGCGTACCCTGCCTGGTCGATCCAATACTGCTGGGAAACTGGGATGAGCTGGGATCCAAAACAGCCCAGAGGCGATATTTTCTCTGGCCTGCTGGAAGGGGTTAGGGTGGGACCCTGTCAGCGGGTGTCCCATCAATAGCAAAAATGGGACCAGGGATAGATGGGGGCTATATTGGCATCCAAGCCTTTTTTACAAACTACAGAAATCAGATGCCTATGCCAGCCGGAGTCCACCAGCACCTCGGCAGCAGCTGCTCCACCATCAGGGAGCAAAACCCGGACTGACATGGTGAGGGCTGCCGGGGCTCACCCCATCCAACGCCGGCAGCAGCTGGAGCCACTTCCCAATGCCACAGTCGTGGGTGCTCAAAGGGACAACTCAGAAAATGGTGGAAAACCCCAGCTCAACCCAACCAACCACCTCCTCTGCAGGGTCTTCTGCAGGGGCAGAGGGGGACCGGGCCAACCCTGTCCCCACCTGCACCGCTTCCCCCCGTGCTCCTGTGAACGCTGCCACTCAAGCTGTCGTATCCGCTCCGTCCGCTGCTGCCGAGCATCCCACGGCATCCTCTGCAGAGGCACCCGTGGGGGCTTGGGGACCAGACGTCGCTATCCAATATTGCTGGCAGGGAGGGTCTCTCTGAGCTAGCTGTAAAGGCAAGCCCAAGAAACGAGACAGAAATAGAGGACGAGAAGGCTCTAGCAGGCAACAGCTCAAGGAGGCTGTGCTCTGCCTGCTAGCCAGGTGTATCAGCTCTCCTGCTGTACCGCAACAACTGCTACCAAGGACGTAGTAGTTTCAGAACACCATTTCCCTTGAAAAGATGCAAGCACAACCCTGACACACCTTCAGAGAATCTCCTCTAGCTGTTTTTTACTTACTTGCAGACCAAACAGCATCTGCCTTTAGAGATGGGGTTCTGCAGCAGGGGAAGGTGGTGTTCGCTGGCTGCTTTCGCTGCAGTTCTCGCCAAACTGGTGTGTAGAAGATCATAAACCTTACTGCAAGGGAGGGCAAAAAAGACAAATGGCGGTGGTTCTCAGATCTCAGGTTTCACTCTGGCCGAACACACTAGGCTGAAGAAAAAAGCAGATGATGCATATGCTTTGGCACATCTTTTAAATTTTTTTTCTTTGTCCTTCCAGGCACCCGGTGGTAAGAAAGTGGCCTCGTAGCTATGAGTGGTTCTTCATGAAAATGAACATTGAGCACATCTGGCTTCAAAGCTGGTATGGAGAAGTTTCTGCCATTGCAGTAGAAGAGTATTTAAAAGCAGTTCCAAGTAAAGGATGATTGAATGGGCTTCCAGATAGAGATCTTCTGAGTTTCCATTCCAAACACTTTAAAAATTTCATGCTGGATGGTTACTTTACAGTGATTTGTTTTTTCCCCCCAAAGGCTTCAAAATAGCCCTGTCTCACATGGAGCAGAGTGAAAATAAACCAACACAGACTTTCAAATTACAAAGGAGAGGAGGATACTAGCCCTAACCTGCAATGTACAAACTTGTCATTTCAAACAGGCAATGCATCATCTTAAAAGCTGCTTAAAAATGCTTTGTATTTGTTTGTTTTGACTTCTATTGCTGTGCACCCACAGGGAAACTACTGTATGTGCTAAATATAATGTTCTGATTTACAGAAAAAGCAAATTGCCTACTCAGAACCTTCTGTGCATTGTGGAGGTATTACTGCTGCTTGGTCTCCCTTGATTTGTAAGTACTCTAAGAGAAACTTAATAGCTGCAAATTTAGATATTTAAGTTTAAAAAAATATTTTGCTAAAGCTGTCCTCATTTGCTAACTTGTATTTTCTATATGTGCTTTTCCCTAATTAGATAATTTGATATTTCACTTGGAAATTGAGTAGAAATTCTCTTTTTTAGTATTAAAAAATGCAAGCAGCTCAAACAACACGGCTCCAATATAACTTGTCTCTCACTGACACAAAGCTGGTTAAACACCTTAAGGGCCAAAACCAAATCAGCCCCCCAAGGATTATCCTAATACAAGTATAAACATTCTCATAAGAAGAATTTAAGTAAATGTTTTCAGCTAGCCAGTTCCTGTTATGAGACAGGAAAAGTATTTTTAATAGCCTGTAGTCCTGATTTTTTTGCATCTCTTCTCCAGCCACCATTTTATTTTTAACTCATTTGTGCAACTGATGTTTGTAAACCATCATCTCATCTAGGGGTGGAGCCAGTCCCTTAACTCTGTTCCCTCACCAAGTTTTAAAGGGCTTGTTCATGCATTTATTTTTAAAAAAATATCCTAAAGATAGGTAGATATTTCAGGCCATGAAAAACTCATTTTCTTGGTGTGGAAAGTGCAAACTTTGTTGCAAACACATTATGAATAGGCATCTCGTGATAATACCAAAGGAATTCAAAGGTATTTTATTCACCTTCAGCCCTTTCTCTAGAGGTCCTGGTAAACTTATTCCACAGTTCCTAAGGGTATCACAGGAAAAAAGGTCCCATGGCTAACCAGCCAAGTCATTACACAGTTTGCAAATTATACGGCTGTTCTCCCTGTTACATTAAGAAAGAGACGCACTGAGATGGGGTTTCCGTGCCTGTGGGGAAGGTCTTCCAGCAGCCCTGGGAAGGCACTGGAGCTCTGGACGCCAGCCCGTACCACGGCTGGGCTGAGGAGGAGCCTGGGTCCCTGGGCAAGTGACCTGAGCTTGTACAGGTTAATCCCCGGGCAGAGCTCAGACGCAGCTGTGTGAGCTATGACCAGCTGGAAGCCAATTAAGTGTAGCTGAGCTTATTTTGGTTCAGGCAGGGCGAGAGGGAGTCATTCCTGGAGCAGAGCTGGGCACCGTGCTGGTTTAACTACCAGGGGCCATTTAGCCCTTGGGTGAGTTCAAGGCTCTGGGCATCACTACTGTTCCTGATATTCTGTAAGAATTGAAGACAAATTCAGGGAAAAACTTTGTTTAGACACTCGCTAAGCATTTTTTTTTCTTGTTTCATTGCCAGAGACTCTGTCAGCAGTGCAGATCTTTTGCAGAGGTAATTACGGAAAAGGAGGAAGTGTCCTGCTTGAATCTATTTCCTTTTTTTTTTTCTTGGCAGGTGAGCAGCATTTTCCCATTTGAATTTGCCCCCAAATCTTGCACTGTGTAGTACTGAAGCAAAACAGTCCATCCTGGACAGATTCATAGAATACCATCAAGTGAAATCCTCCTCGATTCATATCATTTTGCCATGGAGGTCTTTGTCCACTTTGGATTTGATACTTTGCCCATTAGGATTAATGGGACTTTTAAAACTGAGTTCAACAGGCAGAGTACTAGACCCTGTAAGGGACTCTCCACAGATCTAACGTTTCTGTGCAACTTTAATTACATGTTTCATTATCCCAGTTCACTACTATTCACAGAGAAACCTGAACTGCCTATTCTCTCCCCTGACCTTAAACACACACACACACACGCACACACACAGATTAAGCACATCTAGTGTACCAGCTTAATGTTTAAACAAGCTGAAGAAGAGAGGAAGAATTTTAGAAATGCTGCTGTTATTATACTCTCAATTTCACTTACATCCTTAGACAGCCTGGTAACAGTGACATGGTCCTATGTCCTATCCGTTAACTTATTAACACTCTTGCCTTAAAGCAGTAAGGGATTGTATCAGCGATGTTCAGTAGAGCTTTAACTGTTTAAGAAGTTAGTGTGCACTAAGGTTTTGAATTTACAATACCTTACTTGCTATAGGCCGTCTCCCTGCACACCTAGATTAATTGGAGTAGCTTCTGTGTTGTAAATTGACACATTCATCAAGAAGCTTTGCTGTATGGCCCTGCCGTGAGGCTCTTGACAGAACCTCAAAACATGAAATGGTGAGGGCATGTAAAGTGACAAAAGGGGCTTCATGAAGACATGCAGTCTTAAATCACCTGTTCTCATTTCATGCTTCCTTCTCCCAAGGAATAGCTACCATAAAAGTCCTTCAAAGTCTGTAGAAATTCATCAAAAATATGACCTGCAGGTTTTGAATGGAATTTTCTGGAGCGAAAGAAGGGGAGGCGGTAGTAGTTTGCTTAATTGGTCTTTAAATTATTAATTATATACTACTTCCAATTTTTCTTTAAATTGACAAATGTCTCAAGTGATATTGTTCATCACGTGGTAAGTGATGTTTGTTAAAAGCTTTTAACCCAAAGAGTGTTATTGAGATAGCACAATAAAATCGTAGTTCCCCGAGACTGTAAACATTCCGATCTTGCTTCAAGTCAATAGCAAAAACCCTATTTATTTGTTGTGCTTTAAGTATTAGATCAAATAAACATTTTTATAAAAGGTCGTGATAAGCACTTAGGAATTTATGAAGCATTTCCACTAGCTGATGTGTAATTTATTTCCATGTGTTCTGTATTTATTTCTGTAGCTTCCTCCAAAAAGCTTGTTGTGCAACATGTATTATTTAAAACTTTGACTGTGGTTTTGCAATATTTAAGAGATGCATTTAGTCATGTCTGTATACTTGCTGAAAAAAGGAAGACAAAGTTCTAAACTGGGGTTCTCACTTTTTGCTAATTTGTGCAAATGTAATGCATGTACAGGATTTAAGCACAGCTAGTTTGGACTGCTGTTCTTATTTAACCAAAGAATGCTCCATCCCTGATGAAATTTTCATCACTTCGGTGGATGAAATGCAACCTGTCTCGTTTCTGGATGTGTATTGCAATTTGCAATGTATTTTGATTCCTAAAGATACTGAATGTTGTTAACAAAATGCCTATCGAGAAGAAATGCAAATAAAACAAATTGCAAAGTAGAAACTGCAGTTAGAATATTCTTGAGTCTGCAGTACAGCATTAGCCAGAGTAACTGACCTTTTGCTGACAGCCATTATAATTTCTATCTGATCCGAACATCTGCTCTTTTTTCCAGCTTTCCTGAACCAAGCTAATGTCTCTCAAAATATTTCTGGGAATTGAGACTCAGATCTGCCTTGGTACAGCCTTGCTTTTCTCTGGGGAGAAAAGTCTAGCCAAGCACCTTTTATCTTTCCTTTGTCTTCTCATTACTGTAAGCTTTGCTTTCACTCTGGCAGCTAAATGTCACTCTTAACGACATTTGCTGTGCTTTTCTGCACGTGGGGACTGAGCACTCACCTCTCAGGTGTGCATTAATGGCATTTTGGAAGTTTCCTCAGTGCTGTTTTTTCCCTTGCTAGCCTTGCTCTTACAAGTTCTTGGTACAGCTTGTTCTGTGCTGTCCACTTTCCTCCAGCACGTTTTCTTCAGCCAAGGCTGACAATTTACCTTTTCATCTTGCTTTCCCGCACCATCTCCTTTCAACAAAATTCAAGCTCTCCCACTAAAATTCTCACTTTGTATCCGGTAAAGGTTGTAGGAAAGAGCCCGTGTTTCCTATTTACACCTTACAGTCTTTGTCTTGCCACTGGTCGAACTGCATTCGCTGTGAGGACCGTGACAACAGTTTCCTAACCTCTACACATCACAGTCGGCATCAGTTTCCTATTTCCAGTGATTCCATATTCTTAAAAGAACATTTCCTGCAGCTGTTCTTCTCCTTTGTACTGACTCTTTTTACTTTTATCCTGTTTCCGGAGTGATGTCTGTTCTGATTACGCTAAGTGTCTTTCACTTTTTTACAAAAAAATTCTCATTTGAAGAACGTTTTTGGACTCACTAAAGTACTGTCACTTTTTTTGATCTGCTTTTTGCTAAACACTGAATTTATGCTCCTTCTGAATTGTCACCTGCTGTCCTTCAACAAGGCTCACCCTATACCTGCCTCTACTCTGCCACCACCTCCATGTGCCTTCTCCCATCTAACATACTCCTGCTCCTCTGTTGCCTTATCCTCTTTTTCCTAATTTTTTCTTCATTAACTCTAGTTTTTCCATGTTCTTCCCTCAACTTCCAATTCCTTCTCCACCACCTCTTCCACGTTATTTTGTCTGCTCAGTCTTCGCTGTCTTCTTGATTTTGCTACTTTAATATTGTTCTCACAATGCTTAGTGCCTTTGGAGAGAGTCCTAACACTGCCAAGTATTTTGAGAGAATGCTAAAGAGTTACTTTAAAAAAAATACTTTGGGTTTGAAGTTATTTATTTGTTTGTTTATTTAACCACTGACTCTGGAACAGACTTGAGAACATACTGGCCTTGGTGCTGACACAGAGTAGGGCAGTTCACTGAGCTCATGGCTATCGTCCGATGACACCTTACACACAAACTATTCCAGGCTCTACGAGACCCTGTCTGCGTCAGCAGTCGCAACATGCAATCATGATTAGGAAGGACATTACCTAGGTTTGACAACGTTGTTTGATGACATAGGTAGCAACATATGATCACACAGCTGTTGACTTCTGAAGGAAAAACGGGCGTATGAGGCCATTCAAAAAGACAGGTAGCTGGTGAAAACACGCGATCCATTTCAGAAGCTGGAAAAAGGTACAGACGTTTTGTGTGAAAAAATAGGTAAGACTTTAAACGTGTTTATTTAAGAGGAGGTATGTATCAGATATTTGTATTTAATGGAAAAGGAATCCATAAACCGATCATGTTTCTTCAGTCCCTTTCTCTCTTATTTCAGCACGTTTTTCTCCATTTTTTTTCTTCACGTGGTACTGACCCTCTCACCATTTTTTCATCCTTCTGGAACGAGTTCCCCTCAGTAAACAGCACGGGCGCCTTCTCCACCCGAACCCCAGCGGCTCTGCTCCCTTTCCCCAGCGCTGCCGTAACCTGCACCGCCCCCGGCTGGCTCCCGACCCCCTCTCCTCCCGGCCCGGCCTGGCCTTGCTCCCGGCACCCCAGCCGCCTTCCACTCGGGAGGCGGCCCGGGGAGGGGTGGTGGTGGTGAAGCACTGACCAATTTAAATTCACCCCCCGTGTCCCTGGCCGAGCTGAAGGACTTACAACCGCCACCCACCGCCAGGGCTGAAGGCCCAAGCAACGCCCGAGGCCTCCTGTTGTACGGGGAGGCCGGTGCGCGGAAGGCCGCAGCGGACACTCTCCGCGCAGGAGGCTCTTTACGTTCATCCCCCCGCCGGAACCGGTTGCGGTCGGGGGTGGGCGGCCTCCTCCCCTCCCCTCCCCTCAGCTTGTGCCCGGCCCGGCCCGGTGGGGTTCCGCGG